ACCAAGCAATCCAATTCCTTGAAGCCCGGCATATATGGTTGAGTAACACATCATTTGAAATGTAATTTTATAAAGAATTGAGCAATATGACTATTCATTGGGTTACTTTTGATTTTGTTATGACGCCCTAATTACGCCTCCTAGCGGTCATCCTACAAACTTGGAAATAATTTCCAGCCATTTCTCTTGACCGTTTTTATTAAAAATATTTTTTCCTAAGGCTGTACTATCATTAGTTTCTGAAATATAGTCGGCTACCTCTCTTAATGGAACACCCGGTACATAAAATAAAGCATTTTTCTGCACAGAGTAGCTAACAATTGCTCTTTCATTTTGTTTTGAATGAACTGCCGAAAGAGAAAAAATATTATTTTTTCTACAAATCCATTAAGAGCCCATGACGTGCAGTTGGTGGATCTGTCTATGTTCTATACAATAATATCTGCTCTTCCGAACTTTTCTACATCATCGATCAGCCAAACCTTTTCTCGGTTCAGCATCTAATAGAGAGTTAGAGACGCATCAAAAAACTTTATCTGCGTTACCGATGACGTCTGCAGTATTTTAGGTTAATAAATAGTACTTTGAGCCAATAGATAATAGCAGTTTGTCCAACAAGAACAAGAGTGAATATGAATATAAAGTTTGAGCAGGACGTTGTAGGCTGAGAGCTCAGCCATCCGAGAAAATCTAAAAAAGTTTAAAAATTAATTTAGAAGTTATTAAGACAAAATAACTATTTTAAAAATAATTAAGTAACATAAATATTTGATTATGAATTTTACTATTTTATAAAATAAAGCTGAAAAAGGGGGCGGGTGGCTCAGTGGTATAGTCTCTGCTTGTTACTAAACAGGAAAAGTAATTGGTGAATTTCATGTACATTCTAGAATGGATATGAAATTATATCCGTTCAGTAAACATATTCATTCTGTAGTTTATGCAGAAAGTAGATCATATACATGTGGGCGTAAATATAAATATATTTAATGCAAATTTTTTTTGCAGTTTCATATAAATAAACTAAATACACAAAAATGCAACTTTTTCCCACATTTTTAAAAACATTTATCTGTTGATACAAGTGTTTTATTTTTAGTACATTTTCAAGGATTAACAGATTAGTTGAAAAAATAACAGTGTATAATGTTTCATATACCTAACTGAATAAACTAAAATAAAGAGAAATTGTTATGGCACTTAATTTTTTAATTTCATGTTCCCAAATGAAAAATTAACAATTATTATATTCAATTTAAATAAGTCTCTTGATAATCCATTTACTTCTAATTATTTATATGAAGATATTCGATGTAAAATGTGTTCATTATAATACATTAAAATCTTCGCCAAGTTACTTAATGATGAATATGCTAAGGCTTCATCCCAGCATCTAAAATTAATGGTTATAGGTCATTTGAAAACGTATGCCAATTTCCTGTTATTTTTAACTAAGGAAAAATTCGAAGTAATGTTGTTCTAGAATAAAATTAGAATTTGTAGTAAATGTGTTGGAGGAGGTCAATGTTATTAAATTTATTTTTAGTGGAAAATTTAAAAAGATTTCTATTTTAATAACTTTTTACATTGGAAATGTTTATGTTCGTATATGGGACCAAGTTACAAGTTTTTGTTCAAGGGGTCGCGATCGAGTGATAATACAAATATAGGGGAGTATTAGTGTGCAATAGGTGTATCTACGAAACTAAGATGAGCACTTGAGAGCTCATTTCACGAAAGGTTTCGAAGTGATCGGCAAGCAGGTGCATTTATTTTGTTTACTGTAAATCTTCTTTTTATTAAAAATCTATTCTGTTCTAATCTATTATTTTGTAATAATAATTTTTCAAATTTCTATTACCTGAAACTCTTCTGTATAGAAATACATTATTTCTATACAATAGACTTTGATGACCAGTCAGAATGCCTGTGATCAGGCGCAGATTCTGTCTAGTCATAGTCAAGTATTTGTTTATTATAGTGTTGTTGGGGTAACTAAAAGCTCCCTGGCAACTCTGCAGTTTCTTGTTCCTTGTTCCATCTTATCTTTTCTTGAATTTTACAAGGGAAGGTTCTTTAATTAGGTCTGTCACTACCGATGCTGTCAGTCCAATAGAAGGTCCAGGTCCAAAAAGCATTTGGTTTGCTGCCTTCTTGGCTGGTGAATCAACAAGACGGTTACCTTTCGAAGTGGCGTGACCTTTGATCCATCTAAAGGTGACCACATTGTTGATAGATACTTTGGCCAAATCTTTTTGACATTCTAGTAATAGCTCTGAGTAAATTCGTGATCTGTTGTCTGTATCTGCCTGAGCCTGTTACTTCCAGTGATATTGTTTCTGGTGATTTCTTTTGCAGCTATGAGAATCCCCTTGAACTCGCTTTGAACTATACTGACACTATTGCTCACAGCCCATTTTATGTTGAGGTTTATATATCTGTAGTATATTCTACATCCTGAGCCTTGTTTTGTTTTAGAACCGTCGGTGTATATATGAATCGTACCTGCCACTTTCGGCTCTTCTATTTGTTCTGATATAACTTTATATTATGGCTTATGGAAGATATATCTCGGTAAGATAGAGTCCATGTTCGCTTGAATCAGTGGGAGCGCCTCCTGCCAAAAGCGACGTCTCGTCTTACCAGATCCTACATCAGGTTCTATTCCAAGCGTGCGGAAGCGTGTCATTGTCATCAGAGCAACTTCCTTGATGTAAACAATATCAATGGGAGTGAGACTGAGAATTACTTCCATGATTGGTGTGGTTTTCATGACTCCTGTTATGTTGAGACATGCTGTTCTTTAAATTTGTTCTAGTTTGTGGATAGCTGTCAATTTTTGGGTTTTCGGTACCCAGACAACTGCACCGTATGTTAACATAGGTCTTATCATGGCCGTGTAAGTCCATGTGAAGACTCTGGGGCAGAAACCCCAGGTGCGCCCCACGGTTCGGTGACATTATTATAAGCAATGTATGCTTTTTTACTCTGTTTTCTAGAATGTGAGTTCCATGTTAACTTGCTGCCAAAGGTGAGACCTAGGTATTTACATATCTTGCAAAATGTAGTTTTGTACTTTGAAATTCTAGAGCTTTTAATTCCATTTCCATCCTTTTCCTTGTGAAAAGGGCATTTTCTGTCTTGCTGTATGTTGTCAAAATTCCCTTTTTGCAGAATGACCAGGTCATCTCCATACGCTATTATGTAGTGACTGTCATTATTGAGGCGGCAGATGAGGGTGTCGAGGATTATGTTTCACATTAGAGGTGATAGCACCCCTCCCCGTGGACATCCTCTAGCAACCAAACCTCTTATATTACATCTTCTACACTTATGTAACTCCTTGCTTTTAAAGCATGTTATGTATCCACCTACTCACCATCTGTGGAACATTCCTGTTAAGCTCATATTCGTAAATGTTTCACGAAATATGTATGTGGCATATCTTGAACTATCAGAGATGATGACACTTATACGTTCAAATAAGTTTCATGAATGTTACAAATAATGTGTCTGCCATTTCCTATTTTGCGTGAATTATGTAATATGTTCCAAATACAATATCTGTGTTAATTGGGATGTAGTAATTATATTCAGAAGTCGTCCTCTTTAATGCGAACTTTATATCTTACAAATCAGTGTAATATAATTTTCCACTTTAATTAGGTACCTACACTCCTTTGTTTTTTGATTTAATCTCATTTCAAACTCGTTAAAATTAGAAAAATAATATTTTAGTTTCTCCTACTGAGCGTCATTGTATTTTTTTAATTTAATTTATTCGCTCGTTAAGTGATATTTGCATTTTAGTTTATGTATCATAACTATGTCGTTGGCATATAATGGATTTTAAATCAGCAAAAGAATGGTATATTTGAATATTTAGGATTCTTCAAACCAACGCTAACTCGTTGGCGATCTAAAGCTTTCCATGTAAATTATAAGAACGTTTTATTTTTTATTTAAATTAATGACACTGAAAAAGCTAACAGGTCATTATCATTATCATTTAACCACAAATAAAACTAATCCAACACAGAGCGTTCAAGTTCGCACCAGTGAAACAGCGATTGAAAAAAGGACACAGGTTTGGTTTTTGCAGTCAAACAGTCAAACATTAGGTACTAAATCTACAACGCAACAGTTTTGTTCATGAGTGTAGTTTGATTCGTATTAGTTGTTTATATCCGATTTTGTAATAAAAGTTCCTTAGATGAATGTTTCTCCATTTACCGTCAAAGTATAATAGCTTGCAGAAAATGAAGAAATTCATGAAACCGCATAGAAGGGTCTTTCAGATCTAATAACTTCAGCGGTAACAGAATTGATCAAGAAACATGTTCTTGTCTGTTTTATAAAAAAAAATCTTAGTACTGCAGTCTTGGCAGGAAATTTCTTAACTTTCTTGAAGACAAAGCGATCAGGTAATTCTTGTCAATGGCGATACGTATTGTTTCATTCTATTTGCTTGTCGATTTGTGTTAGGAATTTTTAGAGATTGGTTTAATATTGGGATAAAAAAACTAATACCTAACTTATTTTATTAACTACGTTTCTATTCACCATCGTCTTCGTTAGAGAGACAGCATAAGACACGGTTGTAGTGCTGGTTACCCAAGAATAGTAAATAGCTCCTTAAAAATAATACCTAAACTGTATAAAACAATAATATTTTGCGACCTCTTCTATTTGATCTACACTTACTCGATTAAAACTTTCACTGCTATCATCTCCAAAAAGTAGAAGGAATTTAAATAAAATCGTTATCGCTTTCCATTATTTTCTCGATACTTTTTGGTCGAGGAAGAAATATGCCTGTTTTTATGCGATGCTGAAACCACACCAACCACAAAACTAGATGGGAAGCCACCAATAAATCTTTTGCATTGAAATAAGTAAATAAAAAAGTTAATGACTTGTGCCAAGTAACATTATTTATTATATTGCATTAATTTAATAAAACTTATCACACATAATAAATAATTGTTTACTTGTTACAGGAAATGAAAGTCCAACATTTCAAGGAAATTCCTCATACCAGGGTGGACAGGCAGAATTACCGAATGAAATCTCAGCTCCGTACGAAGTTCCCCAATTTCCCATTGAACAAATAGAAAAAAAATTGTTTATTCAACGACAGCTAAATTACAAGTAAGTATACGAAATATAATATCGTAAGATTTACTTTAAAAATTCTAAAAATTAACCTGCGTTGTTTTTTTGCTGGTAAATATTTGGTTTATTTTTATGAGTGGAAGTTCCCTAATACGTTTAGCTTTGTGGTGTTGTGTACATCCTTAGCCTTCTTAATATAGGTAGTCCACATCACATTATCTTCTGTAATTCTGATTCCAACATTGAGTATCATATTGTTTCTCCGTTTTCTGTCGTTTACAGTGTAATAATGTATGTCCCGAATAAGGACTGTCTTCGTAGTACAAGCATTCGTTGTTTTGCTTGGTATCCCCTAAAAGTCCCGTGCCCTATCAGCGTTTAAGACAGATAGGTAGATTGTCGCATGTTTTGCTGCCACGTTGACATGTCCTCTCTTCTTTGTTCTGTCTCTCTCATTCTTCATCTAGTCTCCTCCTTTCTTTGACAAGTAGGTTTATAGCATCAGAACACGGTATATTTTTATTACATTTACCCCACTGAACGAATCTTTTTAGATTAATATAGAATTGCCACGGTAGCAAGAACTTCTCTCTTTTTATGTTCGGCCAAAAAGGACAAGATATAGTAGTAATACAGAGTAATCAGGCGAAAGTCTATTAGTTTCAGGATCGAAGATACTGGGAAAATGCCCCAGCACAAAATGAGAGAGAAGTACAGTTTGTGAAAAATATCAAAACCACAGACGGGCTGCAAGAAAGAATGAAGTCAAGAATCCATCGTGTTTTCAACCGAAATGCATGCAATTTACTGGTATACGGATAGTTCCAAAACTGTAAAATGAACTAGAATATGAGTGTATGGGCCTAAAACCAAGCAATCTGAAAGTTTAGGTATATACCCAAATATCTTTCAGGCTAAAATTCACACCATATTAATAGAAACTAACGCAGATAAGAGATTATCATCGTGTTCGATAGCCAAGCAGCCATCAAAGCGCTGAGCTTTTGCAGTAATCAGTTCAAAGTGGCTTGTAGATGCTTAGAAAAACTAAGTTAGCTAGGCAAGGACAACAGTTACTCTCACTTGGGTCCCGCGACATAACGGGGTAAAGGGTTACGATAGCTAGATAGTCTGGCGAGGAAAGGGACTCAAACACCTTTTGTGTTTACCAAATAGAAGAGGGTGATTCAGCTGGACTTCAAGCCACTCTAAATCTACATTTCCTTGAGAAGATAGAACTGGAAGGTTCGTTATAAGCATCGATACTATTTCTTTGCTGCAATAGCGACAGAAGGGGACACAATATATCTTTTAGGTCGTACTGTATTAATACCCCATACTATCCTGTAGAGTCTTATTATGGTTTAGCAGTTGATTTTGTCTGCTCTTGGATGGACCCTCTATGGGAAGTGCTAAACAAAGCTTATTGTGACCTTTTGCGAATAGACCCCCTTATTCTTTACCCACCGCTTGGACTAGGTGGTGGTTGTACGCATAAAACGTAGTACATGCTAATACTTCAAGTATCTCCTTCGCACATGGAGTATCTATTACAGCAATGGAACATTTACATCGCTCAAGTAGTATTTACTTTATATATTATATATATTATATGTACTATAGAAAAAGGTAATTTGCCTTAGAAGTATCTACACCATAATTTCATAGTATATTCTATAAATGGGATGCTTAGTAGTTTTTACTTCAGTTTAAGTGAACATGGTCGCTGTTATGAATGTGGGTCATAGAAAAGTGTACAATCACAGAAGAAGATACGACGATGATGTATACCGTAAATTATTCAGATATATATTATAAGTTGTCTGTAATTAAATACCGAGTTACATTCACAATTTTGTTTAACAAGGAAAAACTTGACTGGAGTGCAAATTATTTTCATGGAAATGCCAAAGAAACAAGGGGTGGAACCTTATCACCTACTAAAAAAATGTTTTTGAGAACCTTAGATACTTCAAGTCAGTAGTAGATACTTCAAGTCAGTAGTAGATACTTCAAGTCAGTAGTAGATACTTCGAATCAGTAATAGATACTGCTGCTTAGCTATGATCTGTAGTATTTTCTTCTCAAGTAGTAGATACTTCTTTGCGAAGTAATAACATGATGTACTACGTTTTATGCATACCACCCAATGAGTATTATGATTCTTTGTAGACTGGATTGTAATCATTAAATGTGCTGTTGTATTTTAATGTACATTTCAAATTCTGCGGGTTATGACTTCACTGTCATTGCTTCCGACTTTTGGTTATAATTTTAATATACTCGTATTTGTTCTCAAGATTCAACTGAGGGTCTAATTTTAAATCCAACGCTTTGTTATGATCGAACGGATGCTATACTTTGTTGTAAATCTGCGAATAGTATACGTTGGTTACATATATTTTGTGATTTGTGATCAATAAAATATATTATGTACATGTTTAGCTAATCATCCGGCATTCGGCTAAAATAGTATTCTGTAAAACATATTTGATAAATTCAAAGAGTTATTATCGTAATACTTAATTGTCCCTTTATTCACCTTTCTAGCAAAGAGGTATATTACATTTTTTGATAAAGTATAATTGGTAGCCATTTATAATATTCCCTCTTGGATTCCATCATATTATTACTAGATTACTTTGATACCTCGAATGCATAATAATACTCTCCACTGCAGCTTGTACACGAAGGTCCAATTTAATAATTTATACTCATTATTTGATTCATTAGCGGCGCGTCTGAGGTACAGACGATACTTTTAGAATTAAGCATGTTGAACATAATAATATGTGCTATGTTGTTTCGTTTGTCCTTTTTAAGACTTGATAGATCGATGTTTATTCTTGCAATTTCTCAGACAACATATAAGACTTATTAAGATACCTAAGTAAGCTATTCAAGTTAAACGCAAGTGACGCGTAAACACAACTAGCCCTTTGACCATAGCATGGTACACCCGGCTGGCCAATAGCAGTCGGGCTTATGTGATTACGTTAGTTTCTGTTCCATACCAGGAGATGAGCTAGTGCATTCATTAACGAGTTGGACATTTCATAATTTCTTGACCAGGCCGAAACAAGTAGAGTTCAACAGTTGCAAAATCGTGCTATGAAAATAATTTTAAAATATGCAAAATACCCTCTAATAAATCAGATATTAGATATTTCTAACCGGTTACCAGTAAAAGAGCTTTTTGAATCTTACACTCTAATCTGAACTTACAGAGTTTAGATTGGACCGTTATATCTACGGGGAATTAAAAGAACTAGTAAAAGACAATTACAAGTTTTTGTGGGAACCTACTAGGGGTAGGATTTTGAGTGGCTCTAGTTAGATAGATCGAACTCTTATATTTGGGTACCCTCTATGGTGCCTTCAGATTCTGGAGTGCTACACATTCAGTCAAAATGTGAATGCAGGTTTCATCCTCCTCTTCAGACCATCTGCATGGTCCTTATAATGATCCGAGTTTACTAAGGGGTCTTTTGAGTCGGGTAAGGATCTCTGTTACAATGCGCAGCCTGTTTTTGTTCAGTTAGATACCGGCTTTCGATCTTTTCTAGTTATAGTCTCCTAGAAGTATCTTGGCCCGTCTTAGCCCGAAGGAATCGTTCCAATTATCGGTTCTACTGCCCAATTATTTTTTAATATATTCCATATTATTTTACTGCTGATACCGCAAAATGGCTCAAATCCCACAAAGGTTGGCTCAGCCACTTTCCTTTCCAGACTATCTGCAATCTCGTTACCCTTTACCCCGTTATGTCCCTGAACCCAAGTGAAAGAAACTGTATTTTCCTCGTCTATTTATTTTTTCTAGGCATCTCCAGATCATTTTTGAGCTGATTACATAAGAGCTCGACGCTTTGATGGCTGCTTGACTATCCAACATGATGATAATCTCTTGTCTGCGATAGTTTCTAATGATGTGGCATGAATTTTTGTCTGAAATATTAACCCAAACTTTCAGTGTTCCTGATTCTAGACCTATACACTCTTATTCTGTGATTTTGGAACCATTCGCATACTAATGAATTGCATGTCTTTCGGTTGCAAACGAGCGTGATCCTTGGCTTCATTCTTTCTTGCTCTGTGGTTTTGAAGTTTTTCACAAAACTGTACTTCTTTCTCATTTCGTTCTGGGGCATACCCCAATTATCTTCTGTCCTGGAGCTAATATGCTTCCGTCTGATTACTTAATTCCTGATTATTCTAAATCTTGTCCTTTTTGCCACGTTCTCTGTCATTAAATGTGAAGGGGTGAGGTTTAAGATCAACTCCATTGCGGATGTAGGACAGGATCTCATTGCACCGGTGCACAGTAGTCCCGTACCATGATATTCTTCTTCTGGATCGTACTTTCCTTACGTATTACAGTCAAAATGAGACAGCATCATACGGAACCCAAAAAGAGCACTGTGTATTCCAAAATCTGGCAGTGATCGTTCGTGGCGCATTAGATTCATATTAGTTAATGTTTTTCATAATTTTTTCCGTCTCCATGACAAAACAGCGCAGGACAAAAAGGTGCAAGACAAAATAGCGCAGGATATAAAGGCGCGTGACAAAATATTCCAGAATTCTAATTAAAATGGGGTGTTGGCTCAGTGGTTAGAGTCAGTACTTTGAGATCGAAAGGTCTCTTTCCCGGGGCTGGCAGGGATTTTTATTTATTTAAAAAAATTAAATATTAATTCTAATGCATAGGTAGGATTCCCCACACGGCCATGCACTGTTGGGTTCTAATTAACAGCGCTGTTCTTAAAGTGGCGTTGGGAAACGGTAACAAAGCCTAAACAGAACACGGGGCTAATAACCTTAGTACTTGATGCAAACGACACCAAATTAAAAAAAAAAAACTAATTTACCTAGAACAATCGCGGGATGTTTCGAAAAAATAAATCTTGTTTGTTACGCGGTATTTTGTCCTGCGTTATTTTGGCCTGAGCAATTTTATCCTGTGCTGTTTTGTTATGTAAGTAGAGATATAAACTGTTTTTAATTCAAGTTTATTTCACACGACACTGACAATTCTTATAAAAATATTAATAGACATGTTTAGATTGGAACAGGATACCTTTTACAGGATCAGTTTATTATTCTCCATTAGTTTTTTAAAGGCCCTGAGACAAGCTAAATATTACGTAAAACATGCTTCAGTATACAGAGTGTACTTCAAACTGGATCAGTTATAAGTTAGTTACGTTTTTTTTTACAAGTTTTAGTTTTTTTATTTTAATAAATATTTCATTAAAATTTACTAGACGCGATATTTTAATTTAAAGTTTATATCATTCAGACATATCACAGTTTCTGTTTTTTATGCGTCAGTAAAGGATGTTTTGAATTGACTGTAGTTGGAGATTTCTTTGTAATACTCTTTTTGGACGAATGATTTGTATATGCGATGAGAGAGGTATTTTTAAATTTTTCTCATCGCCTTTTAACAGGTTTAAAATAGTTTTAGAATACTACATTTCTGCTTTCTTCTACATTTTTCTAATGCTACCTTTATTCACTTTCTTCTAGGTTTCCTTTGTTTCTTCTTTCCACTGGGTCTTTGTCTTTAATTTGTTTATCATTAGTAATTTTTTATCTTAATAATTGATCCTTGATATCTAGTTTACAATTTTTTTAAATAATACATAAATTATAGTTTTTTATAGAAAATACAGAAATAAAAATTAATATTCAATTATTCTCTTTCTTTAGACAATTAGAGGATAAACGTAGTCACTATGAACCATCACTTAAGGGTGCTGAAGAAGTCGATGATCTCGATGAACATGATCTATATGTGCCACATTTCCAAAGAGTATCAATTTCTGGCGAAGACACGAGTGGGGTAAGTTAATATTATAAAACTCTATTACTCAGCTGCAAGAACGTTCGTTAAAATATTTGACAGTAGTTGTAGGAACGTTGATTAAAATTTTTTAGTAGTCTGATAAACTTTGACAGATATTTAGACTGAATAAGTTAAAGTTCATTATCATTCATCACAATCTCAAACTCAAATTTATCAGGCTCATAAAATGTAATGCTTATATCTACAAAGTTTGACGATATAGAAGATTTTATCTACTGTCATGATTTTATTCCCCTACTTAAACCTAGAATGGAAAAAGACTAGTCAATATTATGAAAAATTTTTGTCCAAAACTCGCATAACTCTTAAATCCCTAATTAATCAAGAATTGCCTATCAAAATATCACCCATATATCAGTACCATGGTCACGCCTTCGACTAAACCAGGGAAATTTCCCAACAGATCTCAGCAAAATAGGGCTGCGCAACAATTCATTATGTGACTGTGATTATCCGTCTTTCGGTGATTTGAATCATATTCTCTTCAATTTAACCAAATTTACACTAGCTAGTATAAAACTAAATATTTACCCTAAGTGCCCTTACCAATTTAGAAATTCTCTTCTCAATAAATACCGTATAACTCCAGAAATATAAAATTTGTTCTTATAAAAATATTAAAATAAAGAGTTTATAATTATTGACTATCTGAGGCAAATGGTTTATCTATCATCCTTCTTCCTTTAAGGTACACATCTACCGGAATAATTTTCTCACTTCAATAATTTGGTATATCTACGAGTCGATGTTGTCACGTTATGCGTGCTTTATGATAAAAAATGTCACCATTTACGTGCTCTTTAATAATTATGGGACTATCTATGTCCCGGGGGTTATCATGTAAAATATATAAATTCAGACCTCAATCGTGTAAGGACTCTATTGCCTTAAACTTGGCTTTGTAGCCATTAAATATATAGGGCAATTAAAACCTCTGAAGATTAAAAGAAACACAATGTTTCCTTAAAACAAATATAGCATATATTTAACATAAGGATACAAAATAAGTCACAGCTCGACACACAAAAATATGGGCTCAATGTAATAACAAGTAGATACACAAAATATAAACTTACCAACTCCGCTAATATTTGGGGCACATGTCATAATTCTTGCCTGAGTATTAAAACTGCTATTCAAAATACAAAAAAGGACGTTTAATTTAAACTATAGAGATCCTGAGCCTTCGGTCGAAGTCTCAGTGATTTGGAGCCGCTACCAGGAATCCCCTACAAGGGGGACCTCCTATGGGGAGGATCCTTCCCTGTGGAAAAAGCCCTTCGACATTACCTTTATAACTTCTCCATAGTTTATTATTATGAAACTAATGTTTAATAATTATTAAATAACCAACCTTGCACATGATTGCAATTTAAAACAAATTGTCGACATAATTAAACAAAGTTTTATGTACAGGATGTTATTTAAATAATTAAAATTACGAAAAATATGAATTTATACGAAGCGTGACAATATAAAGATATGTGCTTCTTCAGAAACAACTAGTTGTTTTATTCTAAAATGGCATAGACAGATAGACAGTCGTAGAGCGCTCTAAAAGTGATCAGCGGTTTACTGTAATGTCAATTGAAGTAGGAAACTTTTATTTTCTAGTTATTTACGTAAAATACAGCAACATAACAGGTTTAGAAAAAGATTTTATGTTATTTCCGATACAAGTTGTAATTTTAGATATATGCACCAAATTAAGGGAAACATTAAATTTAGGGTATTTCTTAAACATTTGGATATCATATTGCACATCGTTTAGAAGATAGTTTAGAGGGAAATAATAATATGTATAAAAATCTAAGATGGCCATCTTAATAGATAACAAAATTACGGTGGGTAACTCGAAAAGAAAATACAAATTGGATTTTTCTTTCTACAAAAATATAATTGGAATATGTGAATTTAACGATTACATCGTTAACTCAAAAACTACATTAATAATTTTGAAAACTAATCCGAGATCAGCATCAAATTTTCTTAAATGTATTAATACAGATTCAAATTTCGGACATACCCTGTATGTTATGTATGAGTTAAATCAATAATTAAATATATTAAATATTATATACAGGTACCTCTTGAGGATTTGGAAAGAGCATCTAAACTTCTTATACAATCTCTGGAAATAAGACAGCGATACATGGAAATGTCATATCAAAATTTTTCGACCACTGTAGCTAGATTTTTGGATCCAATGAGGGCTCAAAAACATCATGACGAAAAACAGTCAATTGAAGGTTAGTAGAAATAATATTCGAAATTAAAACATTGTAGATAAAATTATATATAAAAGTAGACTTATATTAACATTTATTTTATCTTGAAGGTAGTGTTAATTTTACCACTTACTTTTTTGTAGTTAGTTAATCATAAACATTTATAAAAGTATTTTAAAGAGCCAAAACAGCATTAGGTACCTGCGAATGTAGGTACTTGTAAATGAGTAAAAACTAAAAATATCTAATAAAAAGCATCGTATATTGACAATATAAACTCATTGTATTATAAAAAAAACACTTTATTTAATAAATTGGTTTTATACAGTTTGATAGTGTTGCCAGATGACCAAAACCAAGTTGTTATATAATGCTGTAGAAATAATTTTTTTTTTTTCATGAATTTATAGTACAAAACTGACCTTACTAGCGTGACGTTATCGGAGGCTGGTTAATTTAATAATAATATGGGGTCTATTCTGTAACGTTTTAGTTAATTAATAAAAGGTTATTTATAACTATGAAATTTAAATTTTAACCTAAATCTCTAATTTTGTGCTATAACCAATTCTAGTTAAAAAGTGAATTTAAATTAAGCCCAACGCAATATTAAAAACTAGAAAAATAATTTATTTGACAGTTAATTATTACTAAATGACAAGTTATAATTTTAACCAAATAATACAGACTACAAAATTAAAAATAACACAAATAATTCTGATGCCTTGGTAGGATTCCCCACTCGACCATTCACTGTTGAGTTCTAATTAACATTGATGTTCCTAAAGTGGCGCTGGGAAACATTAACAACGCCTACACAGAACCCGAAGCGAAATAACCCTGGTAGTTGAAGCCGATGACACACAAAAGAAACATCCAGTTATTTTTATAACCCAGGGTTAATTTTAACAATATTTTTACAGAATAGACCCCTATGGGGTTAGAGTTAGGGTACTTTGATGATAGTTTCATTGAATAAACATATAAAAAAAACAGAAGAAAAATAACACTTAACCTATTCTAATTAAGCTAAAGTTTCAAAAATAATGTCTTCTTCTTGTACTCCTTTCTGATTTTGATGATTCAATTGTTTTTGTCCATACATTTTTAAAGATCTCATGAATTTTATCATTTCACCTGTAGGTTTGAAACTTACACATCTACTATCCAAAGGACCCCGCACTTTCTAACTTTGGTATGTTATTATACTCAACCTAGTAACCAAAAGTGTCAATAGGCTCAATGTTGAAAATTGCCTAGTTTTTCGGATTTTTTATTTTCGTACTTACGAGCTAGACTGAATTTCTGTTGCATACACACGTTTACTACCTACATGTTTTAGTAATACATAGTACGTACAATTAAAAATATTTTTAGTTACAGGACGATTCACAAATGTATGACGTTATAGTTTTTTTTGCAAAATCTCACTAATTTTACAGTGACGTCAGGGAAGTTTATTTTCAAAAAGTACTTCTCAGTATGGTATTTTGGCGACAAAATATTATATAGTACACATTTCTTATACAGGGTGTTCTATATAGAGAACCAAAAATTAATTCTTAACCCTGTTCTTATGAATTGATATTTGGGACAGGTGATACCACTTAAATATGTGTACCTCTAGGTTTTAAAGTAACAAGGTGATTTATTTGTTAGAAGATATTTCATTTTAAGAAAAGTACAAAAACCACGAACAATTTTACCACTTTTTTATGAGGTATGAATTTTAAATCCGATAGGTACAATGACCAGTTTTTGAAATACAGGGTGTTGTGGAGCATTACTGAATTTAGTTATTTTTTCTTCAAAATGAAAAGCTTAATTGACTTTATGTAGTATATATAAGTTTAATAGGTTTTGGTCAGATGTCCGTAAAAAAGGAACAGTTTAAAATATTTACTTGCAAATAAATCACAATATATTTTTGCCAATTTGCAAATAATTCTACAGTTGTGCCACAAAGAAATGAAATATTGAAATAGTAAAATAGATACACAATTATTTATGGTCTTGAAACTGAAGTGAATACTTTTTTAGTAATTCTATGTTCGTTTTTAAAAAATTACATTTATTTGTAAAAACTACAAACTATTCTTTTGAAAAAAACAGTGTAAAATCTAGGCATTGAAATGAAAAGAAATCTAGGAAAATGTTTGAAGTAGTAATTTTATAAATGTTTATATATTATTTTGAAGTTTTGTTTTGTAGGTATGTGTTGTATCCTATTTTAATGTTTATATTATAATCGTTTTAATTTTATTTTTATCTTTCTCTTAAGTAGCTTCTGTCAATACACCAGTATTTTAGTTTAATATTTTATTTTATCACAATACCACCCAAGCACTCATATAAGAAAGTTAAATTAAGAAACCCTTCATTGAAGTACTATTGTCAATATAACTGCCTAAGCTACTCGTTTTTACTTATAACCCCTCCTTAATTTTTACTTTTATACACGAAATTGTATGACGTAGATCGAGAATATGCAGAGTTGCTGTTAAGAACTGCAAGGACCTCGTTCGATGATTCTATTTTGAAGATTTTGACTAAAGACAATGTAGAGGAGATAATAAAAGATGGTCCAGGTAACTGTTATTAAATAATATAAGAAAACGTCGAACAGCTAGTAGAAACACCTCACTAGACAGGTCCTTGTGAATAACATTTTTTGTATTGAGTGATGTTTTTTTGTAAATGTCATAATCCAGATTACGACGAGCTTTACATTGTCAGCAAAGTAGTTTTAGTAGTTTTGCATAATGTGATTGGGATTAAATATTTCTATAACTGTATAGTGAGAAATGGTCCACTAATTAAGAATACATCAATCCAAAAATATGAATAATTTAAAAATTGTTTTTAAATAATGTAAGGGTTTCCTTAATTCATTACCTATTATTTTTATTTGCTTTGTTGTATAAATTATTTTTCTTTGATTTTTTATTTTACCATTTCCACACACAAAAATTTGTTTTCGAGTAAATCGGAAATGTGATTGCAAACCAATTGTTGTAATACCTTAGTTTGTAATAGCATTTGCTTTTAATTACAAGAATATTAAAAAAATAACAGTTGAAAATTTTCAGAAGCTTTTGCATTTAGAAATGAATCATTTGTAAATAAATACATATCAGGCTTAATAGACCCTTTCTTGTGTCTTTGTCTTTATGTCTTGTTAACAATCAAGTTGGTCTACCTTGTACTTTTTTCTTAATTTTTCCTCGGTAATAGGTACTCTCTTTCATCGTTATAAACTATTTATCATTATGTACTCTTTATACATTTTCACCAATAATTTTCTATGTTGGCAGTATTTTTTGCTCTGCTTCTCTTAGATTCATACTTAATTCCCAAATATGTCATCTTAATTTTGTCAGAGTCTATGTTATTCTATATGAAACCAGACTATCAGGTAGACCCACTCTACCTACACTCTAAGAATATATGTTCGAAAAAAGATGATACTTCTATAAGCTACATTTCATTCTGTTTCCGTCTGGAGACTTAGTCAGTAGTTAACAAATTGAGTTCCAAAATTAGTAATCGAAGGGTTCATAGCTTACGTACTGGAATGGCAATCTTCCCTGCCTCTTTAGGAAATATGATTAGTCTAAACTTGAGCTTACTGAAAATAGACTTGCAGAAGCAATAAAAATGAATATCAGTGTGATAAATTAATCAGTCTGCAAACTAAGCAAAAAACCAAATATTGAACATTGGTAGGACAAACTTAACTCGTTGGCACTCTATGAGTCACCGATGATACGTTCGATTGAGGTCCCTTCTGTACCATGTGTGATATTGAGCATTGCTTATTGCAATCAGTTTTAAAAATATATAGTTCCAATTATTAATAAAAACTAAATAATCGGTACTGGAAGGAACTAAACATCTATAGATAAAGTAGACATCAGTAGTTTAGTTTGGGTTGAAATAAGTATAGCTGTTGTTGTGTGTATATATTTTAACAAAAAAACATAATGTACAAACGTACTCTGTATCTCTGTATCTGTAGCGTGTGGAAGGTGGGTTACCCCACGGCACTTAGGCCTCATTAGGCCCATTGTGCATCCTCCTAAGATGATACGCACCTCCTAACTCGTGAGCCAGTCTACAGATTTAATGTATTTGACAACGTCGCCAAGAGGTACTTCTCTTATACCGGCCGGTGTTAGCCGATACTCGCCGAATACAAATCTTTTAATAAATGAGAGCGTCGAGCAATCGTAAAGGATATGCTCAATGGTCTCATCTTCTTGTTCGCACCCTCTGCAGAGTGCGGATTCTGACAGCACCATGATATGAAGATTCCGTACTTGGCAATGACCAGTCAGAATGTCTGTAACTAGGCGCAGATTCTGTCTAGTCATAGTCAAGTGTCTGTTTGCTGCAGTGTTGTCAGGATAACTTAAGAGTTCCCTGGCAACTCTGCAGTTTCTTGTTTCATCCCATCTTTCCTTGAATTTTACAAGGGAATGTTCTTTAATTAGGTCTGTCACTACCGATTTTGTCAGGCCAATAGAAGGGCCAGGTCCAAAAAGTATTTGGTTGGCTGCTTTCTTGGCTAGTGAATCAGCAAGATGGTTACCTTTCGATATGGCGTGACCTTTAATCCATCTTAAGGTGACCACATTGTTGATGGATACTTCGGCCAAAGCTTCGCGACATTCTAGTACTAACCCTGAATAAATTCGTGGTCTGTTCAGGGTGAATAGTGCTTGTCTGCTATCTGTATAGATGAGCATGTTCCTTCCAGCGATATTCTTTCTGGTTATTTCTTTTGCTGTATAATGAGAATCCCGGTTAGCTCTGTTTGAACTACACTGGCACTATTGCTCACAGCCCATTTTTATGTTTAGGTTTAAAAATCTGAGTATATTCCACATCCTGAGCCTTGTTTTGTTTTAGAACCGTCGGTGTAGATATGAATCGTACCTGCCACTTCTGGCTCCTCCTTGATGTAAATATCAAGGGGAGTGAGACTAAGAATGACTTCCATCGCTCTGGTCGGTGTTGTTTTCATGGCTCCTGTTATGTTGAGACATGCTGTTCTTTGAATTTGTTCTAGTTTACGGATAGCTGTTAGTTTTTGGGTTTTCGGTACCCAGACAACTGCACCATATGTTAGCATAGGTCTTATGATAGTCGTGTAAGATCATGCGACGACTCTGGGGGAGAAACCCCAGGTGCGCCCCACGGTTCGGCGGCATTGTTCATAAGCAATGTATGCTCTTTTAACTCTGTTTTCTAATGCGAGTTCCATGGTAACTTGCTGTCAAAGGTGAGACCTAGGTACTTCATCTTTGTTCACCTAGTTTTGTGTTTAGGATTTCTGAGGTTTTAATTCCATTTTCGTCTCCTTTTCCTTGTGAGAAGGACCATTTCTGTCTTCTTAGGATTGATAGACCAGTGAATGGTCCTTGCACCACTGGTCTATAATTTTAGAGCTACTTGCATTCTTTCGCAGAGTATGTTCTCAAAATTCCCTGTTTGCAGAATGACCAGGTCATCTGCATATGCTATTGTGTAGTGACTGTTCATTATGAGGCGGCTGATGAGGGTGTCGAGGACCATATCCACAGTAGAAGTGATAGCACCCCTCCCTGTGGACATCCCCTCGCAACCAAGACTCTTATATTCACATCTTCTACACTTATGTTTACTGCTCGCTTTGAGAGCATGTTATGTATCCACCCACTAACCATTTATGGAACATTCCTATTGGTTAGTGAGTGTATTATCTTGGGAAGGTGGGTTTTATCAAAAGCACCTTCTATGTCTATGAAAACACCCAAGGCGGACTCCTTATTGTCCAGCGATCTTTATATCCGGCCAGCAACTAGATGAAGGGCTGAATCAGTAGAATCTTCCTGGGGTGTATGCATGTTGGTTTGGGTGTAGTGGTGTTGTTGTAATCAGCGCATTCCTTATGTATCTTTTGCATAGCCTTTCCAATGTCTTCATGGAAAACGGTCGGTATGTTTTTGGGACAGTGTAATCCATCCTTCCAGGTTTGGGTATAAATACCACTTTTACCTCTCTCCATTTTTTGGGGATATACCTCAGAGCCAACGAGGATCTGAATATACCCACCAGGTGCGGGTGTGAGTTCTTCAGACCCCACTGAAGTTGGGCTGGATAGATACCGTCAGGTCCTGGCGATTTAAATGGAGAGAAGCTGGATATTGCCCATCTAATTTTTTCATCGTCTACAGTGTGTTTGGCAGTTTGCCAATCATAGACAGATGGATTGTATTTTTCCTCGGCCAGTCGGCTACGTCTGTGATGACCGAGTCAGGGAAGTGTGTTGACAGCAGAAGTTTGATGCTATGTTCGAGGTTAGCAGTTTTCGTGCCATCCTCTTTGATTAGCGCACCAATGCTTCGGTGTGAATCTTTTAAAAGAGCCTTTTGAAGCCTCGCTGCCTACGGGAAATCTTAGATTTCTTCGCCATGCATCTCTCTGTTTTTTGTCTGGCGATTTTTTGTATTCTCTCTGAGGTGAGATTTATAAGTATCCCCAGTCCTCATTGAGTTTTGTGGGTTCTTTCTTTATAAGGATTTCCAAGCCATCTTCCTGAGGTGATCCAACTCGTGACACCACCATGCGGTAGTCGTCTGATCGTGTTGGACCAGCCTCAGGGACAGGATTTCTTATAGGCATTGTTTATTGTGCTTTGGATAGTATTCCAGTACTTCTCCAAAGCACTTGTTATTGCCCTGTCCGTCTTCCTAGGGTTCCGAGATAGCGTGGAGGTCGGCAACATCAAGTTTATTTTGAATGTTAACCAGCGGTGGTCTGACGCACTAGTAAGAGGTTTAGTCAAAACTACTTGGTACATAACAGGAAAATTCGAACTTTCTTTAATTGTTCATGAAGATAATTAAATTATGTATCACATGTGATACACATGGAGCCAAAATGGAAATGGAATTTAAAGCAGTCTTGGTATCTGCATCTGTAACGTGTAGAGGGTGGGTTGTCCCACGGAATTTAAAGAGCCATTGTATAATCCTCCTAAATTGATAAGCCCCAGCCAGCCTACAGATACTTAAGCAGTCTTGGTACAGACTAATATATAGATAGGCATTTTTTCTTTTAGTTAGTTAGGTACATGTATTTATATCAGCCCTTACTGTATTTAACTGAGATTCTATAAAATTTCCTTCTTAGTTCGACTAGTAACTATCTTAAATTAAGTTTCTGCCCTCTATTGTATCCATTCTGGTTTAATTAGGTTTGTGAAGTATAAAAATCCCTACTAATCTGAACCGTATCAATTGTTGAATACTAAAAAAAGTGGAAATGGACTCATAGCTAGTCATTAATAGACCTCTATCTAGCCTCTTTTGAAAGCATTTAAAAACATCAAATTGGTTAGTTCTAATGCTCGAAAACAAATTAAATGCTTTTGCTATTATTTTTTACATACCTACTACATTTGAGTCGTTGTTTTAGTAACATGAATTTTGTGTAAATAGCATATTATCCTGGCTTTATTAATACTTTTTCAGGAAATAAACGAGTACCTATATATGTTATTTCGTTATTTAAAAAAATGTTTTTTTTTTCTTTTAGACCATGGGAATTCACCCTCCTATTCATACGCCATGGGAGGCACCTGACGTTCCGGACACAGCTCATGTTTTTAGAAACATCATGGTGTCTACAGGTTTTTGCGAATGAACAAGATATGCAAAATGACAAGCCTTGTGATTTCAATATCCAGATGTTATTCAATTTACTAATGATTTTTATACTATGTGTAATATGATAGCTGATGGACCACTGTAAGTATAAATAGAGTCTACAAATGAAGTAGGTATTAATAAATGAACCAACGCCGCAAAGCTTAGCTTTTAACCCAATTTTCTACTAATCTACTTGAGAGCTACTAATCAAATAGAAGATAATATGTTGCTGTGCTTCGTTAATAAATTGATCTGCTATATACTTTGAAGCAAAGATATTCTTAAGTATTATTATCGTCTGTGTTTTATTTTACTATACAGTTTATATTTCATGTATTTTTTCTGTATGCATGTAGTTCCAGGAAGCAAATTTAATTTTTAACCCATTTTATAAACAGTTCAAAATTCATTACAATATTGTATTTTTTTTTTTTAGCAAATCGTTTTGTTATCGTCGTTTGAGTTACCTTTCATCGAAGTTCCAACTGCACGTCCTACTCAACGAATTAAGAGAACTAGCATCGCAAAAAGCCGTACCACATAGAGATTTTTACAATATAAGAAAAGTCGATACTCATATTCATGCTGCATCTTGCATGAACCAAAAACATCTATTGCGATTCATTAAGAAGACTTTAAAGAATAATGCTGACGAAGTGGTTTCCATTACTAAAGGCGTACCGATGACTTTGCGTCAAGTATTTCAGGTAAGGCAATATGATCAATGTTAGAGTTAATAGTCTAATTCACAAAGTATCTTTAAATATTTACTTTAGACACATATATAAATGGAGTTGACGATATCGCGATTTTTTCAATCTATTCTATTGTGTTTAGTAAAATTTTAGACTAGGGAAGAGAGGGGGACACATAAAAGTCAATTCGCACTATAGGGAACGTCAACGTCAAGTAACGGCATGATAACGTCACGTCAATTTTGCTGTCAATTCGCACTATACGGAACATCAACGTCACGTAAATTTAAATTTGAACTACGTCTATCACCATCAGTTTGTGGTCACGGCTCTGACTGTTGCTACTATCAGGTGTTATTTGCACAATACAGCAATTTAAAGAACATAAGTAATGATTGTAATAATTTTGGATTACGAAGAAATAAAGATAATAAAGCTGAAAAACATCGCATCGTCAAGTAGCAGCAAGCTCCATCTAAACTCCTCGAAGTCAGTGGCAATTAAAATTTTAAATGGTTTAAAAATAATTTTTTTTATTGTTTTCGCATTTATATCTGATGTGTTCCAACATATGACTTTCCACTAAAGTTAGATATTGGTCCAAACAAAAAAATAAAATAATTGTACTTTTCATCAAATATCTCCAATAGGTACGGACCATTTTAAGGACATTATGTATATAACAAAAATCATAGAAAATAATATCACAAAAAACTTTTATCCAAAGAATTTTTTCTCCAATCATAAGCAACAGAAATTACAAAAAGTATAAAAACGAGCATCCATAAAGTACTCCCCAGTTGGTCTGCCTATGCCCAAAATCTAAAATCTCTTCAGGGACCCATGAAAACCTTATTTTTCAAATCCCTTCGATATCAGCCAAATTATTTGGGCTGTATTGTGCAAAAAATTTCACACATTATAATAGTGAATACAAGCGGACATTTTTCGAAACCTATTTTGACGTGACGTAATGGGTTCCCGTTACGTGACGCTCTGATGTCTCGTATAGTGTAAAATGCGATCGTTTGACACTATTTAATTTATTTCTCTGTCTAGGTTACCGTTACATTGGATGCGTATTCTGACTATCATCGAGTCAGACGTAATTGTGTGTAATCAGACTATTGAAACAAATACCGTCAGTCATATTTAACTGACTATATTACATGCAGAGAAGTCGTTTGTTTACGCGCGTGTA